TTGTACTTTGACTTTCAATTTTATTTTTATTTTTTTTTAGAAAAATACAATACTACCTCCTATTCTTTTTAAATGTCATTTTGGCATTATCAATTATTAACAAAATAAATATCATTTTGGATATTTTATACATATTTTTCCATTATTTTTAGCTATTAAATACACTACGTCTTTTCATATTCACTCTTCATCTTTTTCTCAAAACATTCATCTATATCCTCATTAATTAAAATTATTATTGACAAATAAAATGTTCTTAATAACTGTGCAACTTCTCAAAACGACACTTATTATAAATAGAAGGGAGTATATGTTTACGATGAGTTTCATCATTCATGCCCAAGTGCTTAGATCGCATGTATTCAAGTGTAAAAATCGCCTCCTTTGTTACTAATCAATATTGTAATACAATAACAGTGCACACTTCAATAAAAAAAATCGCCTCCTTTGTTACAACTATAATCAATATTGTAATACAATAATAGTGCACACTTCAAAATCTATTCAACAAAAAGGCAAAGAGCCCTTTCTTGAACAAAAACTTTTTTTTTTTTTTTGGTACAGGGACCTTCCGGTTTCCGGATCTACAGGGAAATCGACTAATCCGGAATCGAGCCGGGTAGGACCACAAGGACGGCAAAGCTCTCCCTCAAGAGTTTTAACACTGCTGCATTCACAGGGCTCGAACATGAGACCACTGGTTAAGCTGGAAGAGACCCAATCCATCTCATCCAAGCGCTCTTGGGTGAACAAAGACTTTTCGTATAGAGTGAGAGTAAAACTGTCTCTTTCTCTCTCTAACATTTTTTCCCCAAATTCAAAGTAAACCCTAACTCTCCCGTCGCCGCCTCCTCCTGCCGCGCCTTCAGCGGCGCTTCGGTGCCGATCGGACCGAGCAGCTCTCCATGTCAGGCGATGGTGAACCCTCTCCACGATAGTATCTCGCTGTGCTTCAAGGTTGTCTACTCGATGGTGAAGGTTTTGTCGGCAGTCTTGGTGTGGGAATTCGACTGACTCTGGCCTTCTCCGGTGAGTTGGTCGGGGTTGGGTGCAACTTTCTTCCCCCATCTTGACTCGGCGACCCTGTGCAGGTGTGTTGGCTTTGGTTGGATTGGGTTGCGGGAAGTGGTGCCGGGCCGAGGGTGGTCAGCGGGGTTAGGGGGTGGTGCTCCGGTTGCTGTTCTGGGGGTGGCCCGATCGGGTAAGGAGTTCGGTTCGGCGGAGGGTCCAGCTAGCCGATTATCAAAGTTTTTGGGTTCTTTTTTCAGGCTCGATTTCTTTCCTTTTGGCGGGTCGTCTCCATGTGTCGGGCCGTCGTTTGCGTGGCTGGTTGTCTACGATTGGAGGAGGGCTTTATTCTAATATTGTGGTGTTCGGTGTTTTGTTTTATTTGTGTGTTTTTTTTTCTTTTTAATTACTTGT